GCTATCTTGTGTGTGTGTGTGTATATATATAAACTTTCTTTCTTTTCTCTTTTCCCTCATCCAAATCGTTCTTTACTTTTCAGCAGTTTCTTTCCCTTTCATAATATCTATTGCATCTTTTGGATTTTATTTACTCTTTCAGGTTCTTACACAAGGGAGACAATATGATGTTTACTCATGTGAATCTGATTTATTTCACTAATGAGTATGGTCTCTAGTTGCATCCATTTACCTATAAAAGCCTCGAGTTTATCTGTCTTTATAGCTGAGTAATACTTCATTGTATAAATATATCACATCTTTTTTTATCCATTCTTCTGTTGATGGGTATTTGGATTATTTCCAAGATTAGCTATGAAAAATTGTGCTGCTACAAACATGGGTGCACATATATCACTGTGCTACCATGTTTTCAGTTTTTCTGGAAAAATACCCAGAAGGGAAATAGCTGGGTTGAATGGGACATCTAAACCTAGTTTACTGAGTGATCTCCAGATTGATTTCCACAGTGGATGCACCAGTACGTACTCTGATTAACAGTGGAGAAAGTTTCCTTTATCCTCACAGCTGCTACAGCATTTGTTATTGGTTGATTTCTTGATGATAGTCATTCTTTCTGGGTTGAGATGGAATCTCAGTGTTATTTTAATTTACATTTCTCAAATGACTAATGATTTTGAACATTTTTCATGAATTTATTTTCCATTTGTATTTCTTTATCCATGAAGTGTGTATTCATCACAGATGCCCATTTTTGGGTCAAGTCTTTGAATTTGGGGGGCCTTATTTGTTTTAATTCTTTATAAATTCTAGATAGAAGTCCATCTGAGGGAAAGTTGGCTAAAATTTTTTCCCAGTTTGTAGGTTTTCTTTTGACCCTGTTGGTGATTTCTTTTTATGTGCGAAAATTTTCAGTAAGATGAGATCCCAGTTGTTTATTCTTTGAAATATTTCCCATGAAGTTTGGTTTTTGTTCATGAGCTCTGCCTATCCCTATGTCTTTCAGATTTTTACCTACTTTCTCTTCCAGTAGATTTAGTGTTTCTGTTTTAATATTTACATCTTTGATCAATTTTGACTCTAGTTTAGTGCATGGTGATAGACATGGGTCTCATTTTAGTCTTCAGCATGTAGAGAGCCAGTTTTTCCAGCACCATTTATTGAAGAGGCTATCTTTGCTCAAGTGAACATGTTTGTCCCCTTTGTCAAAGACAAGGTGACTGAGTGTGTTTGTGATTGTGGCTGCATCTTCTAGTCTGAATCACTGATCCTCAGGTCTGTTGTTATTTGCCAGCACCATGCTGATTTTTTCACAGTAGCTTTGTAGTATAATTTCAAGTCTGAGATTGTGATGTCTCCTTCCTTTCCTTTGTTGCCCAGAATTGCTTTTGCTATTTTGGGTCTCTTCTGGTTCCAGATGAATTTTAGGAATATTTTCTCTAGATCTGTGAGGTACACTAGTGGTATTTTGATTGGGACTGCACTGAATCTGTTTAACAATTTTGAGAGTATGGCCATTTTCATAATGTTTCCCTTGCTATTTGTAAGTAGTCTTTCTTTTCTTTTCTTTTCACAACCACAAACCTGTGTTCTACATCTGAGATTCTGTCCTCCCATTGGCTCATTCTGCTTCAGGTACTTTCAGTGGAATTTTTATTCTCCTGAATATCTGCTTGAATCGGTTTTGTAGATTCCATTTCTTTCCTATGTTGGGCATTTATTGTTTCCATCATTTTCCTAAGCTTCTCTAGTATTTTATTTGTATCTGTTCTAGAGTTACTGAGAATGTTTTTCATTGTGGTCACAATCTCCATAGTTTTCTGAGAAATTATTTCTCTTTGATTTTTTTTTTACAACCTCATTCATTTACTTTGTTGTTACAACTTCAGGGAGGCCAGGTGGGTGGCTTTCAGATTGTCCCAGATCATTGCCCTCTTGGGGTTGCCTTTGGTGAACTGAATGTCTGGGGTTTCACCTTGTTTAACTATTTCTCTCTGTCTCTCTGTCTCTCTGTCTCTCTGTCTCTCTGTCTCTGTCTCTGTCTCTCTCTCTCTCTCTCTCTCTCTCTGGTACTGAGAATCAAACTCAGGACCTTGTACTTGCCAGGCAGACACTATTCCACTGAGCTATCTCCCTGGCTCGTGTCTTCTCATTTTCTATTTTTTAGTTTAATTCTTTGGTTGATACTTGTAAATTGCTTATGGTGAGTTGCTTTATTACTAGTATTTAAAACCCTTAGGAAATGCCTGTTTCTTAAAGGTGTGTTTATGGTTAGCTGGTTTTTGAGTTTTGAGTCTGTTGCAAGATCCTACCTCTTCAATTTGTTGGGTAAGAGAAGTTACTGCCTGCTTGGCCCAGCCCCTGATTCTTTGGCCTTGGCCCACAGTACATTTTATGACGTTTAGGCAACTTGGTATACTAGGAAGAAGATCTGGTTGTAACAATTATGTCACCTCAGCTAATGTGGAACAATCAGCAATAACAGATGAAACACAGCCTAGAAAATGATAAATGGAGTTAACCATTAATTTGTCACCTTTAATGGTATGAACTAGATTTCTGGTTATATAACAAAATCTAAAATGAAAAGATAATTGTATGCAGTAAGTAAGCCCTCCATATGCAATTTTACCCTCAGGGGAGAAAATTTAAAAGGGGCTAGGGGAAAATAGAGACACAGAAGAGGAAGAGATAAGAAGCAAGGCTGAAGAACAAAGGGGGATAACACAAATTTTGGGAAACTTGTGCAAAGATGGGAGGAAATGACAGAAGGAAGACATAAAAGGAAGAATAGAAGAGAACAACCACAAAGAAACTAGAAACTGTGATCACATTCATATAAAAACAAGGTCAAACAATGAAGGAGTACAAAAAACCAGACGGGGGGAACTGCCCACTTCCAGCTTTGTCTCTGCTGTCTCTGGTAGACAACATGTGGAGACAGGGTCCAGATCCATATATATTTGTCCCAGCAAGCCAGTAGTAGCTTTATGGCAGGGTACTAGATAATCTCAGCGAGCCTGCGCATTTGCTTCTCCTGAAGCTCAGGCTGGTTTTTGCACATGAGCCTGGGACCAGACACATTCAGCCTGCAGCCATCAATGTATCTTCTGTGGATCTGCACTCAGCTGGGAGCTGCTAGATGGGCCCAGTAGTTCTGAGTTCTACACTCAGTTGGCCCCCATTCAAGATGGCTCCTGGCCAATTGCCCTCTCCCATGGGATATTCAGTCTTGCAGACTCACCACCAGCTAGTGTGGTCCTCCATGCCCACTGTTCCCTTCCACTGCTGCCTCTCTCCGTGGAGGCCTCTGGTGTTGCCAGCAGTCACTGTGTGTCCATGTATTTGAACTGCTTCTCCCACGCAGTGAGTACCAACACAGGGAGAGGGCTCTGCTGGCTACCCTCTTCTTCTTTGCTGAAGTTTCTTTTTTTGTTCTCACTGTGGTCTTCAAGTCTCACTTCAGATCCTTCCTGGGTCCAGGGGATCCAATTCCCTCCTATTTCTCTCCCTTGCATTGCTCTAGTGCAGTATCTGGATGACAATTCTCAAAGAGGCTTTTCTTTCCTGCTTACCACTCCACTATATTCCTGGAAGTCTCCTTTCCCTTTCTTTATCCTTTTATTTTTAAGTATATTGCTGCTATTAAGCTTTATTAATCTTTAGATATTTAGTTGACTCAATACTGTTATTGTTGAGTTCTTTTCTATGGTTAATGGTGGTAAAGTTGTTGCATTTAGTAGATATTAACTGCTTGTCAATATTTGATTTATATATGTGTCCATTTGTTTTGACTTTTACTAGTACACATTTGCAGTACATAATGATTACATTCACTGTAGGGAATTGGTACGTGTACATAACACATTTCAATTCTTTTTTTCCCTTCCCTTCCCTCCACCCCACTTTTATTTTTCCAGCATCAGATTCATTTATTTATAAGATCTTATAAAGTTAATTATTATATATAGATTGAAAACCAATTATGGTTACATGTCTCTTTTTTATTTTTAAGGATAGTACACTATTAGCTTTTATTGGTTTCTATGTTATGTCCGTATCTAATTTGTCTTTGATTCTGTCATTATTTTTGATTTTATTGCTCTCTTCAGGTGGGCATAGTTGTTGTTATTAATTGTTTTTTACTGTACATCAATATCTGGTTTGTCTCTGTGTCATCAATACTGTAGTTCATTTCAGGATAACTGATTTCTGGATAAATCACAATGTACCCTTGCCTTCCCAAATTCATGGCAATGAATCAAGGGGCAGAACAAAAGGCCTAAAGTTAGCAACCCCCAAAGTGCTTCATAGAAAGAAGACACCAACTAAAGAGGTCTCCATATTATCAACAAAGTCTTCCCACTATAACCCACCCAGAAGCCTTAGAAAACACACACAAAACAAGGAAACATGAGCAAAGGCAACAAAGTACTGCCCTAACGCCCAGCTCCCCCAAAGCTGAACCATGGGGCATTGATGGAATTGAAATGAAAAGCTACGCAGCTGAATCATAGAGATTGACAAAAGAAGAGACAAAACCCTCAGACAAAGTAACTAAACAGATAATGGACTTAAACAAAATGAGCAGTGAGCATACAGAAGATACTAATAAAAAATTAGCAGAGCTAAACAAATACAAAACATGAATGACCAGTTTGGCAAAGAATTAGAGTTTGTGAAAGGGTATCAAACAGAAACAAAGGAGACAAAACATTCTATTAAATGTATGGGGGCTGGAGATATAGCTCAGTAGAACAATGCCTGCCTGGCATGCATGAGGTACTGAGCTTAATTCCCAGTACCAAAAAGAAAAAATGTATGGGTAGCATTAGTGATCAGTGTGAGGACAAAGTGTGAGGACTAGAATATAGAGCTGAAGAAGGTGACCATGTACTCAGAGACGCCTCAAAAATCTCCTTGTGTTTCTTATGGTTGGATAAGAACATTTATTAGCAAGAGAAGCCAGTGATTTTCTATTCCTGTTACCCTAACCACCTTCCCCACATCCCTGCACAGATGTTAAAGTCTTAGGTTTTTGTCAGCCTAAACCCGGTGTGCATATCACTGTGTGTCCCACAAGGGCACAGAAATATGTGGCAGCATCCCCCAGCTCTGAGTCTGAGATCTTGAGACTGAAGGACTTGGCTGCTTTCTGGAAGTTCACAGAGAAGCGACCCTCAGTTGCATTCTGCTGCTTATAAGCCTCTTGGCGAATAATGAAAATCATCTGCCCACTGGGAGGTTGCTTATACCAGAATAGATAATAATTACTATCTGTAGTGTCATATGTGCAGTCCAGGGTTGCTGTTGTCGCCTCTTGAATGGATATTTCTGGTTGAGACTGAGTGACCTTCTGTGCCATACTGACTCCTGTAGGAAAGAGGAGAGAGAGGATTCCCTTGGGATATCAAGTCAGAGAAATAAACAGGCAGATCAGACAGACTCACAGGTGGTTCCCATCCACTCTGCCTTTCGTCTTCATTCAAGCCCCAGACAGCGTATATCAGCCCTCTGTTTCCTGGTAGCTGGGATCTAAAAACCAATGCAGCTTCTATACTATTCATCTTTCTTGCATTACAGCTTCCTTAGATACCATTAGAAATAAACACCTACTCCTTCCTTACCGAGACAGATGGAAATCAGGAGTGCCCACAACGAGCTAACCAGTGTCATGCTGGCAGCTGTCCCCTGCAGGGTGAAGAGTCTTCTGCTCCTGTCTGGGTTCTCCTCTCCTCGGTGGCAACTCTTCAAACAGGAAATGGTATCAGAAGTAGGTGGTTCACATACTGAGGAAAGATTTCCCCACATCTTTTAGTCTCTCTTTCAGAAAGTAGGCTTATGGTTACAGTTTTAAATACAAAGGAAAATTTAAAAATATTTCTGAGTTCTTGTAGTGCAAGGTAAAAAAAAAAAAAAGAGGAAATGAAGCTGGCAAATTTCTCATAAAAGTGAAAAAGAAAAGATGATAAAGTAGAAACAAAATTATGGGTGATAAAATACTTTTTATATTAACATATTCATTTTTTACATTTGTATAATTTCTCAAAGTAAAAAAATGAAAAAATATGCTTGTGATGGAAAAGAGATGAAAAGATTTAGAAAACATGGGAGCAGAAAAGAGATGAGAAGATTTAGAAACCATGGGAGCACCTAACTGTGCTTATCTTTTCCGTGGGTATTTAGAAAATGACAACTTGCTGTGCTTAATCAAGAGACTTTGAAATAACTATTGCAGAAGTTCTCACAGCACTAAATTATTTCAAACTATTTAATTTTTATTTAAGTCATTCACTTCATTCTGAGAAAATATTATGACCAAAGAACTTTAAAGAAACCTTACTGTGGTTTATTAGAAGTGCGCTTTTCCAGAGTGAGGGGCAAGGGTCTGCAATGTCAGGGTGGTAGTCTCAAGCCAGAAGCATGAAAGGGCGCTCTTACGTGGTGGAGGACTGTCTGAGGACCATGGGTTCTCAGTGGCATAGATTTAGGTGGCTGAGTCTCCCCACTCAGAGATGTCTGTGGTGTCGGGAAGATTGGGAACAGCCCTGAGTGATGCTATAAAAATCCCTTGTGCTCTAAAGCCCAATTTTAGAGCAACAGAAGAAGCCATAGAATTTCTTCTAGATCACCTCCATCCTTGCTTCACAGTTTGAATTCTTGTACTCGGTAATGTCAGCCCCAGTACAAGGGCTTGTGTGTAAGGAGTTTATTGCAGATGATTCTAGGGAACTTTGGTTGGAAGTGGATCAGGGCAGGGAAAGGAAGGTAACACAGGTACTCCACCAAATCAGCTACCACTACGGCCAACTGGAGCTCAATCTGTTTGGGCAGTTCTGGAAGATGGGATAGCAGAGCCCTTGGAGTTATCTCAAACAAGTAATGAAGAAGCTGAATAAACCACTGCATCTACTGCCAAGAAGTTGGGTATTTGGCAGGGGTAGCTAAATCTGATGTGGAAAAGGAAAAACCCACATTTATTTATTTTTATTTTACAGAGAATAAAAAATAATAAAAGACATTAGGAATGGTACAGAATTTCAAAAAACAAGATGATAGGAATTCTACAATGGTTGTTATATTGCATATTGTCTTCAAAGTAGTTGTTCAG